GAGAGAGAGAGTGTGTGTGTGTGTGTGTGAGAGAGAGAGAGAGTGTGTGTGTGTGTGTGTGAGAGAGAGAGAGAGTGTGTGTGTGTGTGTGAGAGAGAGAGAGAGAGAGAGAGAGAGAGCGAGAGAGAGAGAGAGAGAGAGAGAGAGAGAGATCGGCCTCGTAACCTAAACTAGTTCACAGTGTCACTGGTTAATGTTTATCTTTCAGCTGCTCTCATTTCTTAGAACATCAGGATCATCAGAGAGATTCTCGATAACATTCACCAGACAAACACAGAGAAATACGTTTGTTTGAAGTCTTCTGCTACTAGATTTTAAAGCAACACATTGTACATTAATTGTGTTCTTACTATAAACACACAACTCTTATCCTGGCGTGCACAAAAATATGTTCTAAGAACTTTTGCTAACATTATTTCTGAATATTCTAGTTTTCCCAAACATTTTGAAAAGTTTTTTCTCGGTTATGCCAATGTATAATTATGTATAAAAACATTCCATTGTATAATTCTGGGTGAGCGTGATTTCACAAGTACAACATGTTCCTGGAACAACATTCCTATCAACCAATCAGAACTGAGGGATAACTTCTCAGGAATTAGGATCAGGGTTAGGTGCTTCCACACCCTTGTTAATCAGCTATCATTTCACACTGCTTTTAGGAATAAATTATGGGTAGGGTTAGGTTTAGGGGTAGGGATTGGGTTAAGTCTATATTTTTGGACAGTTATATTGATCCAGGAACATGTCTTACTTGGCAAAATCACGGTGACCATAATTCTGCAAACATTATGAGAATTTTACCTTTGAATGTTCTCTGAACGTTTGGAAACAAGTTGTAACATAAAAAAACAAAACAAAGTTAGATAACATCCAACTAAATGCTAAGCTAATAAAAACATGTTTTTCTAATGTTTCCATAAGTTATGAAAATATTATTTTTGAACGTTCAAAACTTCCAGTTTTTAAAAAACATTTTTTCTTGGTTATGTGAATTTTAAGAGAACATTCCATTTGCAAACATTATTCAAAAGTATCATATAATAAAAGTAACAATAAATCAGAACATTCTGAAACAAAGCGGTAACATTTAAAAGTGTTAGCCGAACTAAACATGTTACATGAACAAACGTTGCTGGAAGAATGTTCGTTCGGAACTTTGAGGGAAGCTTTGCCAGAACGTCAGCCAAAAATCTGTAATAATGATGGAAAAGCTGTGATTCTAGACGAGTTATTGATCATTGATCGTGTCTGAGCTGATTATTGATAATGTGATCTGCTGCCTCGACACATTTTACTGTCCGCAAACATTCCTCCAGATCACACACACACACACACACACACACACAGGATTGCTGCAATCTTTGTTTGTGCTGCAGATCGTTCATTCACTCAGATGTATTATTGCGGGTCATCACTGCAGATATAATAGATGCTGAGTGCATGTAGGAAAAATGTCCTGAATCATTGTTTTAGTGTGTTCAGTGTTCTCCTGTAGATGAGCTGATGTGTTAATGATAAACAACCCCCGGGTCTCTGGCGGGCGCTGCTCATGCGTGGTCCTGCGCGAGCGTTTGTTTGGAAACTCTGAGACGAAACTCGAGAAAACTTCACAAAATGTGGCGAATATTAAACACTTCTAACGCTCTTGTGAGGCGAGACTTCAGGAGAAAAACACTGCGCGTTTCTGCGCGGAGCCTCGCGACAGATGACGGGTGAGAAATCTCCGAGATAGAGCTGAGAAAATATGAACTATATCTGACAGACTTGACATTTACGAGACATGAGATATAGCTCTCTATTTGTGAATGCATGGGAAAATTCAAACCGATTGGGATTAATAGGCTACTCTAATAATCAAAATAAGTAAGTAAGGGAGTGCAGCATGTGTGATTGAATCATATCTGATCATAGTCTATGATCTGTGACGCTGAACGCATGTCTGATGGCTGTGTTCTGCTTCTCAGAGATCCGCCCGGGGTTCTGGGGAAGCGTCTGAGGGACTCGGCGGAGACGGTGGTCATCGGCGGCGGGTGTGTCGGGGTCAGTCTGGCGTATCATCTGGCCAAAGCCGGACAGAAGGACGTGGTGCTGCTGGAAAAGTCCGAGCTGACGGCTGGATCCACATGGCACGCGGTACGCTAGCACACGGGTCAGGGGCAGTGTTCGAATGGTGTCAAAGCTCTTGGGGGGTCCCCCTAACCAGCCCCCACCCCTTTCACAAAAATAAATAAATATAAAATAAAATAAAACTTTAAAACCGAGCCGGACAATTTGGTCAGTCGCACTTTTAAACACATTTTAGTTTTGCTGTAGAAAAAATCTACAAATGCACACTCTTATTGACATGCTGAAATATGCTTAAACCAAAATTGCTAGCGGCGCCCCGCATATGATGCATATTTTTTGTCTTGTTATCGTTGAGAAAACCTAATTAAAAGATTATTTTACGATGATCAGTGAATAAGGTGTTCCAAACAATCACTAAGCAAAGAAGAATTAAATATCTAGCCTAGGGGTGTGCGATGTTGACAAAAATTGATTTCTCTACATTTTCTGGGATTGTATCGATAATGATAATCTACGGTGGCTGAGAAGTGCAAAGCAAATCACAATTCTGAAAACAAAATAACAAATTACAAACGCAAATGCAAGTCTAAAAAACAAAATAACAATTCAGAAAGCACAACAACAATTCAGAAAACATTATAACAAGTCAGAAAACACAATGACAAATC